TAAATAATTAATGCATTTTTGACGCTGATTTGTAAATTTTTGAAACTTAAAAGAGCTTAAATAGAGGGAAAAAGAAATATACATGCATGGTACCAAATTGATACCAAACTGTTTAAAGTTTTTCAATACCATCCGTTGTCAAAGTATATACGTACTATGTAATGTTGACAACATTGCAACAATTCGCTGTCGAAATCAATATTTTATACACATCCACAAACGTGATAAGCTCGCTATTGGCAATGGATTGTTTGTCAATAGTGAGCTTACCACGTTTGTTAACATTTAGACAACGGATGTGTATAAAATTTAGATTTCGATAACGAATTGTTGCAATGTTGACAACGTTGCGTTGTCAACATTACATAGTGTTGTCGTACGTATGTATATACTTTGACAACGGATGTTCTTGAAAAAGTATAAACTCCTTGGTGTCAATTTGGTACCAGGCGTGTATATTTCCTTTTCCCTCTGTGTAGGAATAACTGAAAAATGTAACAATAAATTTTAAAATTTTTACTTAAACTCAATTTTTCACCAAAAACTCAAATTTTTTCTTAAATTCCAAATTTTTATGGAAATTTCGAATTTTTACCAAAATTTCGAATTATCACTAAAAACTCGAATTTTTAACTAAAAACTATATTTTTCCCAAATATTTATTTTAAATAATAATATTTTTCTCCACAGACAGAATGTAATAATTTTTGCAGAACCTTACATCCCACATATATTGTTAAAGCAAAAACCACTTGTAAAAATCACATTACCAAAGCAATTGAAATTCAAGTGAAGAAATTTTTACAGATCTACATGTGCGATCAAATAATGTTCTTCCATATAAATGCCAAGACAAGACCTTATTGTTAACCAAAAAAAAAAAAAAATAAATAAATAAAAGCATTATAAAACTAATGAATAAATACAATACACTGAAAATAATGTGTAATAAAAATCACCAAAACCCACTTGAAGTATATGCAAAGATTTTTATCTTAGTGCCTGACACAAAAATAAAATCTGAATTTTCATATCTATAAAACTTCAAAAATAAATTTATATGCGTTTCCTAAAAAACCACTCACACACACACATACATACAAACAAACATACATATAAAAAAAATTATATTATTTCAAACTTTGGGGAATAAAATCTACTGTCAAGGCTTTTTCTAGTGTATCTCTCATCTTTCCTATATGTGTATGTTTAGTTAAACATACATACATATGTATATTATGCAACGAATTGAATATAAGATAAGATTTTCTTTTTCATTATATTCCTTTATTTTCTTGCTATTGTTATGAAAATAAGAAAAACCTAATCTGTAATTGATTCGCATAGAGTTTCAAATCAGTTTGAATTTAAAACCCAGTAACTTAGAGACAAGTCTCAACCAGAAAACAAAACAAAAAGAAAATATGGAAATAAAAACAACAACAGTTAAAAAAAATGAAGAAACTCAAGCAACTAGTATATCCCTGGGCATGATGACAGTATATCTCTCTTAGTATTTCCTTGAATATGCAATACATAAGGGATCATATATTATATGCATAACCATACATAACTAAATACATATCTATCTTTATATGAGTGTGTATGTGTATTTCTTTAAGTGTGCGTTCGAGTTTAAGAGGAAAGAAATTACATCTCCTTGGAATATTTTATATTTACAATGAATATAAAATATTATATGACAATACTTACTCTCACATTTACATGTATATATTCCATTCATTCACTTTATTTCTGCTCACAAAATAAACTGAATGAGCAAAAGAAAAAAAATGAAGAAAAAAGAACAAAAACTGAACTCAGTTGATGAGAAATGAAAGACGTTACATGAAACGCACTTTATTGTATTGAAATATTGTAGCATAAAGCAAGGCGCTGCTTTCTTGCTACTGCATGCATTTCATAATATTTATATATACTCATGTATGTGTGTGTTTGAATGCACGACTGATTTTGTATTGCATTGTAAAGTTTTATTAATAAAGTTCTCTTTTCATAGAGAGGGGGAACAACAAATACTTAAATAATGTTCGTCTTCGTCGTCTTTATACTTTCTTATAAGCTTCTTACTTGTATCCCTTTTACTTTTGTTGATACGTTTGGAGCATAAGTTTGCTCCAAACGTATATTTTATGGTACCGATATGAGTTTAAAATTATCTTCGAAAACACCAATTCATAAACACCACTGTCATAAGTAAACCGCGATGAACTGGTTATACGTCCTTTATTATTTTAAGTCAAACTTTTTCCTTTAAAACTCGGACAGACAGAACAGAAACAATGAAAATACATGATCACTTTCTTTGGAAATAAATAAAAGTCCAGTCTTCCAAGAATTTATTACTTTTGTCACCATTTCCAAATATTCTTTGGTACCTTTTAGCTCTTTTAAAGTAAAATCACTAAACTTCATTGGTACTTTTTTAACAAACATCTATCACTTGCCTTTCAGCTTGGGGTTTTCCATGACGAAAGTTTCATTCATTCAGTCATTTACCCTTCACATATTAAATATAAAGATATTGTAAAGTATTTCTTTTTTATCATCTTTATTTTATTACACATGCATGCACACATACATATATATACAGATTCGCTTACACATACACAAATGCAATAGTCACCCCACAGTTTTTAAAGCAGGAAGGTAGCAGTTTTCCGAAATATTTGACAACTTCAATGACTACTATTTGCTAAATTTTGTGATTACTTTACCACATATACATATATGTATGTTGCATTTTCATGATGTAGAGAAGAAGGTAATCGTCACAGAAACAGAATATGTTTAAAAACAGATTCATATGCTAGGGTGAGACACCTCGAACTGCAGGAAATTTGGAGTTAGTATGTATATGATTGCACAATGCATAAAGTATTCATAATGTAAATATCTTATGTTATTATATGAGTACAATGTCTGTATATATTTTATAATATACACATGCACATTTAAACATTATCACCAAAACAACATAATATACATTCTACTATACATACACAAAAAAGACAATATAATTCATCATTTCTAAGTAATTTCATCGCTGACAATTCAAATTGTTCAAAATCCGTATGAAAAATATATACCCTTCATATACACAAACCTACATATATGGTAAAAATGTGTATGTATGTAATATTTATATGTACTCTTTATAATGAAAATAAATATTATTATAAAAGATTTAATAATAATATTAAGTTATTTATGCAGTAAAGTTTCAATATACATAAAATAATTGTCTTTTAATCTTAAGCATCTTCAAACTGGTAGCAACAATAGCAAGTAAAACATTAACTATAGAAGAAATAAGTAGAACGAAGAGATTTCAGTTAAGTTGCAATTAATTAACATTATGAAAGTGTACTTAGTTAAGAAAAGTTAGTTTATGTCTAAAGAGATGTGAAAAACTAAAAATAAAATGTAGTGTTGTTGGGAAAATAATAAAGCAGGAAAATGCTATATTTCAGTAAAATTCTTCAATTGTAATATATGTGCATGAAAAGTTTAAATGCAAATAATATTATAAATTATTTATGACATAATATAATAAGTAAAGAATGTCAGATTTGAAATGATTTTAATAACGGTTTCCAACTTTATTATTCTGCTCGTAACACATTGAAATATTGATCCTTATAAGATTTTAATCTACATCCGTTTACCAGTGGAAAAATTCAGTTCTAGTTCAGTTCTAGTTCAGTTCTAGTTCAGTTCTAGTTCAGTTCTAGTTCAATTCTAGTTCAGTTCTAGTTCAGTTCTAGTTCAGTTCTAGTTCAGTTCTAGTTCAGTTCTAGTTCAGTTCTAGTTCAGTTCTAGTTCAGTTCTAGTTCAGTTCTAGTTCAGTTCTAGTTCAGTTCTAGTTCAGTTCTAGTTCAGTTCTAGTTCAGTTCTAGTTCAGTTCTAGTTCAGTTCTAGTTCAGTTCTAGTTCAGTTCTAGTTCAGTTCTAGTTCAGTTCTAGTTCAGTTCTAGTTCAGTTCTAGTTCAGTTCTAGTTCAGTTCTAGTTCAGTTCTAGTTCAGTTCTAGTTCAGTTCTAGTTCAGTTCTAGTTCAGTTCTAGTTTTAGTTCAGTTCTAGTTCAGTTCTAGTTCAGTTCTAGTTCAGTTCTAGTTCAGTTCTAGTTCAGTTCTAGTTCAGTTCTAGTTCAGTTCTAGTTCAGTTCTAGTTCAGTTCTAGTTCAGTTCTAGTTCAGTTCTAGTTCAGTTCTAGTTCAGTTCTAGTTCAGTTCTAGTTCAGTTCTAGTTCAGTTCTAGTTCAGTTCTAGTTCAGTTCTAGTTCAGTTCTAGTTCAGTTCTAGTTCAGTTCTAGTTCAGTTCTAGTTCAGTTCTAGTTCAGTTCTAGTTCAGTTCTAGTTCAGTTCTAGTTCAGTTCTAGTTCAGTTCTAGTTCAGTTCTAGTTCAGTTCTAGTTCAGTTCTAGTTCAGTTCTAGTTCAGTTCTAGTTCAGTTCTAGTTCAGTTCTAGTTCAGTTCTAGTTCAGTTCTAGTTCAGTTCTAGTTCAGTTCTAGTTCAGTTCTAGTTCAGTTCTAGTTCAGTTCTAGATCAGTTCTAGTTCAGTTCTAGTTCAGTTCTAGTTCAGTTCTAGTTCAGTTCTAGTTCAGTTCTAGTTCAGTTCTAGTTCAGTTCTAGTTTAGTTCCAGTTCAGTTCCAGTTCAGTTCAGTTCTAGTTCAGTTCTCGTTTAGTTAACATTTATTTATTTTCATCATTTATTTAAATTTTTAAGAAAAAACTTATTCTATCTTCATTTGGTTTATTTTTTTAAATAATAACATACTTAAATTAAAATAAGTTCTACTTGAAGAGTCATTACAAATATACATGTATGTATTTAACATACATATATAATAAAAAAATTACTTTAATCATTTAGAGTAATTTTTACCTATTAATTTCGCTTAATTTCCCAGCAAATATTATATTTTTACACAAAATAAAATAATGAAAATAAATTATGAAAAAATACTCTTAATACTTACATTGTACTCTTAACGTTATACTCGAACTTCTAGTCTCCCCTTCAGTATTTGTTGCACCACAAGCATAAGCCCCGGCACTTTCTCGCTCCAATTGAGTTAAATGCATTATTTCTGAACTCTCGCCAGACATACGCATACCCTATAAACGAAAAAAAAAAATACATATAAAAATATTTATAGAAGCATACGTGTATAATAAAACAAATACATAATAATATGAGAACAATAAGAATAATGATGTTTACAGTTTTTTCCGTGATACACTCCTGCTTGTCATACTCTCTTTTCCTTGTTTTGTTATAATACACAACATGTAACGGTATGTAAGTAGTATATGTAAGTGTTTGTATGCCATGACACAGCTTTAATTAACATTATTTTTATTAAAAAAAAAAAATAAAATGAAGAAAAAATTCAGTGTAATCTTATATTAAAGAAAGACATTATTAAGTCAAAGTTGATTGTGAAAAAAAAACATGATGTATATTGTTGTTATATTTTTATTTGATTTTTGTGTGTGTGTGGGTGTGTTGGCAGGTGGGAAAGGTTGTATGTTGAGGGATACCAAAACGACGCAACATCATCATGTTTTGTGCTCCAGAGAGAAAAAATCTAAAATTAATGTCTTGTTAGATGAAATACGAATTAAAAAACGTAAATACTTATACAATTGTTATGTAGTCGACAGAGCAATGTACGAGTCTTATTATCTGTGATAAGAAAACTGAAGATACCCTATAATTGGTCTATAAAAAATATCAAAAATTTGGTAAAAATATCTACTTTTCTGCAATTTTTCTAGTTTTAAAATAAATTCGCATCTATTAAAGAATTTTCATTGAAGTGATCATGATTTGTAGCATAATTTTTTCAGTTTTATGAAGTAAGTATATGTTATATTTTCCATAACTATACTAAACCAACCTTGTTGAAAATAGCGTCTAATGTCTGTAAAATTCTTTTGAAATATTGTCACACAGCATACTAAATCATATTTATTTGTGTGTTACTTTTTTTTGTAGGTTATTAAAAATTCCTATACAACACATCTTCTTGACTTTGTCAAATTTATTATTCTTAATGTAATTCTTTTTTTTAATTTTTCAGCTATTCTGTTTGTTTCCAAAAAAGAATGTCTTTTACTTAGTCTTGTTTAAACAGCAGGTTGACTTGTTTTTCCATAATTATCCCCAGTGTAAAAAAACAAGTTAAAAAAGCAAAAAGAACTTCATTTTTTCGTTTTCTTCTCCAGCAACTGTCTATGTGTGATTTGCTCTTGAAATTCATTCATTCGCAAATGAACATATACAAAGCCGCCAGACACACACACACACTTATATACAAGCAAAACAAGAATAACAAAGAAACACGTTAACAAAAAAATATTTTAATGAGTTTTTCTTGTTTGTCATTTACTTTGTTTTATTTTCCTAACAGATTTTCAGCTTAAAATTCATTTTTTCCTCCTTTTTAGTCAATGATGCCCCTTTCCGTTTCCTTTTGCTTACAAGCTATTTGTTTATTTATTTTTAACAACCTTAAGCAAAAGAAAAAACCAAAATACTACTTTAAAGCACTAAAACATTTAAACAATTACACATGCAAACACATGAATATACCCGCATTTTATTAAGTACACTCGTACTCATACATATGTAAATACAAAATGGTGGCTGGCAAAAACCTGTTAGTTGTAAGACTTTATACCTGGCTGATTTTATGCTTTTTTATGTAGAGAATGTTGGCAAAAATTCATTTGGCATTAGTAGTACTTATTAGAAAGCAGAAAAGTACCAACAATTTTTAAAATAACAACAACAACATGAAAATAATGTCCTTGTCGTAATAAACTTCACCACAGATTTATGCTTTTCTTTGTTATATTTAAAGATATATATTTTCTTATTATGTTTTATTTCTTTTGGGATGTTACAACTAATACAAATATACATTCATTTATACACGATAAACATCAATGTAAATTTTACAGTGGGCGTAGAAACAATGACAAAGACAACAGATAAAATCTAATGTAATTTAAATAGCCTTAAAGTTTAGAATAAAAATTACAATATTGAACATGAAACCCTCTGATCTCGATAAAATTTGTTACAAAAGTTATAGTTTTCTAAAATTTAAATACCTTACGGTTTGTAAAAGTTTTAAAAAGTTTAGTCTATTTCAAACTTTATACAGTACTCTCCATTAATAATCAATTCCCTATAAAAGAAGCTCTTTCGAGAATCATACTTATATTCATATTGATGTAGGATTGGTTGGCCCCGTTTGTATGGAGGAAAAATAAGGTGTCGATGTTCCCAACTAAAATTAAAATTTAATTGATTATAAAATAGTGTTTCTCAAAATTTTTGTCCTGGGGTCAATATTTGGCGAGCTGGATCAAAGAACAAAAAGGTCCTTTTTCGAGGTTTTTATAAATATTTTCATATTTCTTCCAAAGGAAAGATATACAATTTTGGTATCATAAGAAAGGTCCTTGAGAGACGCTTTCAATGGCATTTATATGACAGTAAAAATAATCGAAATTTTCGAATTTTTTTGTAAAATTTTCAGATTTTCAACATTTTAACATAGAAGAATTTAATATAATTCGTTGAATTTAATACACAATAATACTCAATAAAATCTACCGAAACGGGGTTTTCCGTTTTTATTAAAAATACAATCTAGATCAAATAAAGTGTTATATAAAATTGTAAAGCTAATGAAATTACGCGTATGCTAATGTACATACTAAGTACGTTGGATAACTATAGCTAGCCGAAAACCTGGGGCAAAATAGAGTTTAAAATATTAAAATAAAATACAAACAACTAAGAAAGTATAGACGGGCGTGACCGACCATATCATACCCTACACCAGTTATGAATATAAAATGTGATTTATTTTTCATAATAAAGCATTTATCTTCTTTTACCTTGTTCCGATACATTTAAGCAATTTATGGATGAAAAACAAATTCTCTGAAATAGGCTTTATATGGGGGGCTAGGGGCAAATATGGACCAAACCCGATAAAGTTTTTTAAATGTATTTATATTTGTACAATATTTATTTGTGCTGAATTTCAGCGTGATATTTTTGTTTATTAGCTAATTTTGGGCATTGAAGTAATATTCTGAAGGGGACCTTGTATGGGAGCTATGGTCAAATGAAATTTGGCAAGGTCATCAAGACTTGTATAAAACTTAGTTGTGCCACTTTTTATCGATAAACCGATATATTTATCATCGTCGTGTTGTATGGAGGCTAGTTGAAATAATGGACCGATTTTAACCATTTTCAACAGGCCTTATCCTTCAACGTGTGTGCTAAATTTCATCCAATTATCTTGAAAATTGCGACCTGTACCTTGCGTACCAAGGTTTACATGGACAGCCAGCCAGACGGGCGGACGGACGGACATAGCTTAATCGACTTTACATCACATCATATATACATACATCAGCACAAACCCTGTGTAGGGTAAAAATATAACAAATTTCGAAAAACAGAAAAAAACATTTCAGTGAAATTGTATAAGGTTTATAATGTGATAAATTCAATTAATTACATTATATAATTCTATGTAAAAATTTGAAAAACTACGACATTTGTGATAATATTGGAGTTGTAAACAAAAATATATGTTATGTCAGTGAAATCGTCTTTCAAAGACCTTTCATGTGATACTAAATTTGCATATGGTTTATTTGTCAGAAATGTGAAAAAAAATCATAAAAACCTTAAAAAGGACCTTTATATCCTTTGATCCAGCTCACCAAATATTGAAGTCAGGACAAAAATTTTGAGAAATCGTATCTTAGAATGAACTAAATTTTCATTTTCGGTGGGATAATCAGCAACTTCCTTTTTGGCACACCCCCCCACTGAATACATAAACATAAATCCTATAAATGAGCTTTATCTTTAATATCACCCACTGTAACTTAAGGAATATGAGTGTTAATGTATGTGAGAATTATAAATTTACACACATAGATATAAATTCACTTACTTATTAATGTATATGTTGTAATACTGATTACATCTAATATGTCATATGACAATTTATTGTAATATATTTGCGTATTTGTCTCTATGTCTTATATTTTATTTTATTACTTAAAATATTTTTCACTTGGTTTTTATTTTTTTATTTTCTGTACTCCTCACAAAGTATGTTATCTTATTAGACATAATGCAGACTTTATTTTTTTTTAATAAACTTTATTTATTTACAATGTTGTTATCCAACCCTGACATACGTAGGCCTACTTGAATGGTTAATGTTTTTGGAGGGTTTTTTTTTTTTTTTTTTTTCTTTTGGTAATATGACACAATTCTTCTTGTTTTTATACTTGGCTGTTGATTTTACCGTTAAAAAAATGAATAAAATTAAATTATATGAAGAAAATCTGTTTTCCCACATGATTTGGGATTTGGTCATTGTGGTTTGAATTTGATTTTCAGCTGAACACGTTCGGAGGTTATGAAATTTAGCTTTTTTGTTTTTCTTATGTCTTTTGCTTGTTGTTTTTTTAATATAATTTTTCTTTTGTTATTTTTCTTAGGTAAATATTTTAGCGCTTTGGAAGTTTAATACGCAATTTTTTTTGGGCTTTTAATGAGGGTTAGGGTTTTGTAACCAAATACTTTAATATGTATAGTGTTTATGTAAATAAAAATATAAAGTATTTGTTTGTTTATAAATTTCCAAAAAGTATTTTTATAATAAATCTAGCATTTGTTTATTAATTAGCAGAAAATAAAAAGGAGAAAAATAAGCACCATTATTAAAAATTCTTTTACTTGTTTTAAAAATTAGAACAATTTTGAAATTCAAGTATGTTTCTGTGCAAAAACTTTGTTTGCAATTAAAGTTGTATTTCTGTACATTTCATTTTTTTAATCCAAAAGTTTTATTCAATTACCATTAACAATAACTTGATGGAAAGCAAAGTTTTTCAATGAAAATAAATATAAACTAAAGGAATATAAAATGTAGATTTAAAAATTTAATAAGTATTAAGATTAAATCTGTTATAGAAATTTTTTATTTTTTTCTAAACACAAAACTCTAAATGAATATAAATTTTAGTATAAATTTATATAGTTCCCTATTTAGAGAATAATACTT